TTTTTTTTTTTTTTTTTTTTTTAGTGTCTTGCTTAGTAGCACAGGCTGGCCTTGAACTTATTACGTTGCCCAGGTGCTGGCCTTGAACTTTCAGTGATCCTCCTACCTCAGCTTCCAGAGTGCTGGGTCTATAGGCATGCACCACCATGCCTGACTTGTTGTTAATTCTTTTGGGGGTACATAGGCAGGAGTGAAACTGCTGGGTCATATGATAATTATATTTTTAATTTTCCGAGGACCTGCTATGTAGTTTTCACAGCAGCTACACCATTTTATATTGCCATCAGCAGTACACAAGGGTTCCAATACCTTGACATCCTTGCAGCACTGTTTTATTTTGTTCTGGTAAAAGGCAGCACCGCCACCACTGCCGCCACCACCATCACCACGAAACGCCCCCCCGAGTATGAAATGGCACTCACTGTAGTTGTGATAAGGTTTTTCTTAAGGTTGCTAAAGCCAAATAACTTTGCAGCTGTCCATTTTATATCATCTTTGGAGTCCAGAGTTTTCCTTTGTCAGATTATTTTGTATTACTGATTCAATTTCCTTACCATTTAAGGGCCTATACCAGTGGTGGTGAACCTACGGCATACATGCCACAGCAAGCAGGCTGTTACCACTGAAGATTCTAAGAGGTTCACTCACCATCACTGGTCCACACAGGTTTTCTTTTTTTCTCTTCTTTCTTTTTGAGGTACTGGGGATTGAACTCAGGACTTGGCGTTTGCAAGGCAGGCACAGTGCCACTGAGTTAAATCCCCAGCCTATACAGATTTTCTATTTCATTATGATTCTGTTAGTAAGACTGAATTTATAGAAATTTGTCCATTTAACTTGGCTGAAACAATTTGTTGTCCTACAATAAATTACAATACTTTCTAATTGTCCTTTTATTTCTGTAGACTGATTAATAATGTCCCATCATTTCTGATTTTAGTAATTTGAGGTTTTTAAAGTTTTTCTTCTTTCATCTTGTTCAAGTTTCATGACTTCTGTTAATCTTTTTGAAGAACCCTGAGGTATTTTGATTCTTATATTTTTATCTCTGTAAGTTACAATATTTATGTTACAGCGATGACAGTATTTTATAAATTACCATAGGTTATCATACAGTACCAACTTTTATAACTTTCCATTATTTTCCTTTGCCAGAGATATTTATTTCTTCATATGGCTTCAAGTTGCTGTCTAATCTCCTTTCGTTTCTACCTAAAGGATGCCTTTTGGCATTTCTTCTACTATAGGTCTATTAGTAAAAACTGCCTTAGTGATTAAATGAAGTACAGTCAGCTGAAGCCAGTTTGGCAGAGTGAGAGAGATGTCAGACTGATGAAAGGTGTGCAGCTTGATTCAAAACCAAGCTCTGAACCCTTTTAAAGAACAATAAAACACATTTTACATGCAAAATATTGTCTTAGTATTTTGATTACTTGGGAATGTCTTAATCCCCTCTCTGGTACTGGGAACACCCTTTTCAATTTTTCTTTTGAGAAAGGATCTTGCTAAATCATTAAGCTACCCAGGCTGGGCTCGAACTTGCAATTCTTCTGCTTATGGATTACAAGTGTGTGCCACCATACCCAGTTAATTTTTCCCTTATTTTAAAGGAAGTTTTGCAGGCTAACTTAGTCTTGATTGACTGGGTGCACCCCTCTCCACCTTCAGCACCTTCACTATATCAACTCACTGCTCCTGTTCTGACATTTCTGATGAGAAAACCACTAATGATCTCCGTCCATCTTTGGTCATTTCTCTCTTGCTGTTCTGTAGACATTGGACTTGTCACTGGATTTAAACAGTTTGACTATCATGTGTATTTGTGTGAGTTTCTGAGTTCGTCCTGTTCAGAGGCTGTTCAACTTCTTGGATGTTTACTTTCCTATCTTTCATCAAATATGGGAAGTTTTCAGGCAAACAATCTCTGTTTCTCTCTTTAATATCTAAAATTCCCAACATCCACAACTGACTTAACTGGATCTGCAACGTCCCTTAAATTCTGTTCATTTCTCTTCACTCTTCCTTCATTCTGTTCCTCAGACTTGGTTTTTTGAGTTCAACCTTTGCAATCACTGACTGATCTGCTGCCTAAATCTACTTTTAAATCTCTGATGTAAACTTTATTGTACATTTCCTTTGCAGAATTTATTGCCTTTTATTTTCTCTGTCTTTAAAATTGATTTCCATTTTTTATACATCTTTTCTTGACTTCTTCCACATTTTGAACTTCTTCAATAAAACTGTTTTAACTCTTTAAGTAAATCCACCATCTGGTATTTCTCAGGGACAGTTTCTGCCAATTGATTTTTCCCTTTGAGTAGGCTACTTTCACGTTTCTTTGCCTCCTATATAAGTTTTCAATGAAAACTGGCCATTTGTTGTAATTCTGGAGATCAGAGTTGGCTGTTTTTTTCCCCTTGATGTTGTACTTTTTTCTTAGTAATAATTACATTCCTTATTAATTTACTATCTAATAAGGTAAATGTTAAATCCTAGGACATTGTACAATATAGTACTGCAAAACCATTCCTTCATTCAAAAAATATACATTAAATGCCAGGCTTTGTTTTAACTGTAGAAAACATGGCCGCTTATTAGAATACAGTCTCCATGGAGACAAATCCAACTGGGTCTAGGCGCTGCATCCTGATGATGCCAGAATTCATCATACAGTACACAGATACATCAGGCAAAAAGAAGATACAGTACTTGAATACATGAATGCATTTCAACATGATAAGCCTTTCTAATGTTCCTTATAAAAATAATTCACTATACACTTCATACAGATTTGGGGTTTTAAAAGCATCTTTTAAAAAAATAATAAAGGTAGCTCTGTGTGTCCTGGCATAGAATCTAAATGATTATGCAGTATTCTACCCATATACTCACACATGGACACCACCCTCTAGCTGGCCCTGGAAACATACCTTTACAATGTACAGCAATGGCACCCTCAGCGTTCTCACAAATATCTAGGAACTCTTTGACAATGGCATCCGTTGGGGTGCTACCATCCGCAAAGAAAAGATCATGGTGATCGAAACCAGCATCCGTAAAGCGCTTAGCATCATACATCCTTTTATTCAGACGAATAACGGTAGTAACACTGTGACTCTTAAAATATGGAATATAAGTCTCCGGAGAATGTTGGTGGTAACCTACATAAAAAAGTGCACCAGATCTTGTAAAATGCAGAAAGAAAAAAATGGAGGTTCACCTGTAATAGGGTAGATGTGGTACCTGGACTGGGGGTTTGAATAATGATTTTATTATAATTGTAAAAAGCAAAAAAAAAAAATTATCAGAATTATATATATATATAAATGAACGCATACATTTAAAAAATAAAAACTCAAGTCAAACTTACTTTAACTCTTTGGTCTCTCTTGAAAGAAAACACAGAATGGGTACTTTCAATTACAAAACTATACTGGTCCCACAGTTTTACATACCACTTTCAAGTCTGGATCTTGAATGAGGTCCACAGAAGGCAAGAAATTGGTCTGGTATTATCCAATTTAAATCTCCATTTTCTGCTTTCTGCAGAGGAAGACCAGCAAAATTAATTTTTGGACTGAATTTCCTCCCACACCCCTTTTCAATACTGTCCCTAAGAAACTTCACATCTATTAGCTTTTGTACATTAGCTGTGTATTAATGACGATAAGCAATTCTCCCTGCTCTGAGCATACCCATGGAACTGCTGGCTTCTCCTGGGCCTACTTACCTTGTTTTAATAGAGTTTCTTACTAGGGTAGTCACAGTCCTTGAAAAACAGAGCTGACTGGTGTCATTAAAATATACTGTGTACTTGGTTATTAAATCTTTCCTAGTATACAGGGTCTAGAAAGTCCTGTTTTCTTCAATGACTAACTAGTTTTTCATATGAGAAATTCTGACTCCTTGAATAAAAGCATCAGAGAAAAAAACTAGGTTCTTAGCTTCTCAATACCTTACTTTTCATAGAAGCACATCTTTACATAACTTCTGTATTTAATAAGAAGGCCGGGCAGGGGATTTAGCTCAAAGATGCTATGCAAGGTCCTGAGTTTGATTCAGGTAACAAAAAAAAAAAAAAAAAAAAAAAAAGGACAACTAAAATATTTCAGTCAACTAATCAGAAAATCTAAAACTATAAGGATAATGAGATTACAGAGCATCTGCACACATGCAAAAAAAAACTCCACATAAATATAACTGATATCTAAAAATAATGGAGACATAGCTTTTTTTTTTTGGTTTTTTTGAGACAGGGTCTCACTATGTAGTTGAGACTACCTGGAACTCACTATGTAGCCCAGACTGGTCTCGAACTCACAGCGATCCTCCTGCTTCAGCTTCCTGAGTGCTGGGATTACAGGCCTGCACCATCACGCACAGCTGGAGACACAGCTCTTAATGAGGTAGACAACAGACTTTTAAGCAAGAGTTATAGGAAGACACTTGATAGTGAAGGAAAAAGGAACTAGTGATGATTAAAAAAATAAATAAATAAATAAAATTTGGACACAGTATTATACACCTATAATCCCAGCACTCCAGGAGGATCAAGTCCAAACCCAACATGGGCAACCTGGCAACTTTAAAAGGTTCTGACTCAAACTAAAAAAAAAAAAAAAAAAAAAAAAAAAAAAAAAAAAAAAAAAAAAAAAAAAAAAAAAAAAAAAGAGAGATAAATTACCTTAGCAATTGGTATGTGTTTATATTTGAACCTAAAAATAAGAAAGAAATAAACAGTTCCTTGAACACCTATCTACAAGGAGCCACACTGGTAACCCAAAACCTGTTCACTTAATTATTCACAGCATGAGGAATCGGTGAGCAATAAAGGTCTAGGCAGGAACAAGAACAAATGCTGCCAGATGATCTGATTTTGAAGTACAACCAGGAATATGGAGTTCTTACTAAGAAATCTGAAATTAGATGTTGGCAACAACTAGCTTTCATTCAACTGCTGTCATTACAGACTGCTGAGATGCATTCTGTGTTCAGAGACGTTGAAACAAAAAATAAAAAGGCAAGATAGAATCAATGAGAGACACTAATCTAAAATTTCCAAGCACACTACATAGATTAATCAGAACTAGTCTGTGGACACCTAAACAGGTGCCTAGAGTTTGGAACTGTATCTATGGTATGGCACTGTGACACCACAGCTCAGCATCCCAGTTCCTGGTAAGAGGGAAGCTCTTTAGTGCCTGTATTACTTCTTAATAATATATAAGCCATCATTGTGCTTTAAAGGAAACTGGTGGGCCAGAGATTTAGCTCAGTGGTGTCACTGCCTGCCTTGCAAGCACAAGGACCCGAGTTCAATCCCCTGTGCTAAAAAAAGGGCAACTGGTATTTTCAGTATTTTGCTTACAAAATAAAAGAAAACCCCTTTTAATCTTTTTATGCATAGTATTCCATTTTTGGAATGGCACATATAATAATGGAACACAATACAAATTTTTCTCTTCAAATTCTTTTTCCTTGAATTTTTCTATGTAGCATACAGGAATTTCATCCAAAAATTCACAAATTGCAATCTTTGGCATAAATGGATAAAACATTTAATTTTATAGGGACAAGCACAAAAATGGGTGTCAATGATTTAGTTATACTCAATAGTTTAAGGTAGTTAAATTTACTTTAGAAATAGATGGCTTTACAGAAAAGACAGGGTTGCCTTAGCAAAGCCTAGCCTATGTTTTTACACCTTTGACACATCATATTATTAACAGACCACGAATATTCACCCAATTCATCAGTAAAACAGTTTCATTATACTGAAGAGCTTTCAGTAACAGCTGCTTTGGAAATTGTGAAAAAAGTTACTGAAGCCTCAGGACACAACCACATGAAAACTGAAGAATTATCTTTCCCATAATTTGAAGAAATATGCTCAAAGTAAGTATAGCAGAATAAACAATCAAGAGCCTACAAGTATTCCTGCCTGGAAAAGGCCTTTAGCGTAGCATTTTCTTCATCATCTATTTGAAGGATGGAGCCTTAGGCTCAAATTATTTCCTTTTAAAAAATATACTGTCAGCCTGGCGTGGCTGAGGAAGGAGGATCCCAAATTCAAGCCTAGCCTGGGCAACTTGGTGAGATCTGGTCTCAAAATTAAAAAAAAAAAAAAAATCAAAAGGGCTAGGTATATAGTTCAGTGCCAAAGCCCTGAGTTTGACAACAATAAAAAATACAAAAATAAAAATTAGTTAAAATGTAGAAGACATATCTAAGTTTTTGACTGCCTGAACTCTGTTGCCACCTCACCTTTCATTTATTTTTATCTGGAGAGTCTCACAGGGCTTTCAGCTAAGACTCCATCTCTGAATTAAGTCTGGCTAGAAGTATCCACATCCCTCTTACTGAACACAGGTTCGTTTGGCCATTAGTACACTGTTTATGTCAGGGCAATGAGGGGCATTCGTGGGTCTTCTGCTAGAACTGGGTTCTCTTTTCTACTGAGTATTTGAAAGTGGTAGATCAAAGCTGCAAGAAGTCATTTCTATCATAGCTGGAGAGGGCTGGCCTGAGGACAAAACTATTTTCACTGGGATGGGATTAACTAGACAGTACATTTGCTCCTAAATTTTTAATTTCTGGAATGCAGTATGATTTTCCCTCTTTTATTTAAGCCATTTGTGTTTACTTTCAGTAACTTGCAACAGAAATGTCCTGATTTAATATAAACAAAATATTATGATAAACATGAAGATAATGTCTCAGAAGTAAACATATGCATGACTATAATACTATTCATCTTATTGTACCCTTTTATAAATTTCATCTCAGTGTAAAAAATTCATCAATACTAAATAAATTTAAGTAAACTTTATGAAAAATGCACAAGTTATCAAATTAGAAATTAGAACTACCATTACAAATTAGGGCTAAGGCCAGGCATGGTGGTGCACACCAGCACTCAGGGGACTGAAACAAGAGGACTGCTACAAGTTCAAGGCCAACTTGGCCTACAAAAAAGAAAAAGAAAAAAAAAAAAACCCCCCCCCCCCCCCGCTGCCTGCCTTGCAAACACAAGGTCCCAAGTTCAATCCCCAGTATCAATTAAAAAAAAAAAAAAGAATTAGGCCTGGAGAATGGGGCCAAAGGGATGAAGACTTGAAGTCTTTTACTGTATACATATTTAAACTGCTTTTAAAAACAAGATTTTTTCACTTCAGTAAGTAAAAACAATAATAATAACAATAACAATAATAAAGTTAAAATAAAAAACAAAGTGAGAAAATGAAGTGTTACAGTTTGGATCTTTAATGTTGCCCCAAAGCTCCTATGCTGAAAGTCTGGTCCCCAGTGCAATGGTGTTCACAGGTGAGGCTTCAGGAGGTGACTGAGGCTCTGAAACACAAGGGCTCTGATCTCATCAGAGTGAGTACATTTATAGATGCATACTTCACAGGCTATTGGAAAGCAGTGTAGAAAGTTCAGGACACGGTGCTTAATTGAAGGAAGTAGTTACTAGGGAATTCCCTTCAAGAGTGTTACTTTGTCTCAGGCCCCTTTATCTTTTCTCTTTGCTTCTTCACTTCCAAGAAGGAGCAGCATTGCCCCACTGCACACCCCACACCATGTCTGTCTCATCACAGGCCTAATGGTGGGCCAAGCTGACCACTGACCAAAATCTTTAAAAATGTGAATCCAAATAAATCATTCCTCTTTGTAAATTGTTTGCCAAGTATATTGTCACAGCAACAGAAAGCTAACTAACACACAGGGAAATTCTGGTAAATTACAAACTTCCAGATACACACTGAGAAAGAGACATAATGTACACAATGCACACCTGAAATTTGCTGAGAATAGATCTAAATGTTCTCAGAAAATACAAAAAAAGGAAACTATGTGAGGTGATAGATAACGTTAATTACGTTGATCATGATAAACATTTCAAGAGGTGGATGTGTATTAAACATTACCCTGTATACCTTAAATGTAGATAATACTTATTTGTCAATTATACCTCCATTAAGCTAGGAGGAAGAGTTAAAAACATTATCCTTGAAAACTTACTTCATAGTGTTCATATTCATCAAGGTTAAACGTGTTGAAATTAAAGAAGCCATACTGCATTGCCTAAAATCCAAAAGAAAGCTTGTAAGAAGATAAAAATAAGGACACAATTTCCTAAAAATAAATATCAGAAGGCACCCCAGAAAAGTATTGCTACATTTAGATTACTTTCCATTATACAGTTTTCAAAGGACATAAGGCTGTATCTTTCACATGCTTCGATATCTGGAGATTAGTTATAACATTATATAAAAATATGTAATTTTAAACCTTCATTTATTAATCATCTCATTCATGCACAATAAAATAATCATTCCATCAAAGTAATCTTACTTATTAGATCAACACCACCCATGGTACAAAACTGAGAAGTTTAAGATTCAGTTATAATGCAGACTCCAGTGGTTTCTAAAAGTAAGTAATAATGAGGAAAGAAACCATGGGCTACCTTAGTTCCACCCAAGCCCACAATACCTTCACCTACAAATTCTTCTGAATAGTCTTATTATAACAGATCCAGGTGACATAATGCTAAACTTCAAATTTTTGAAGGAAAAAAGCCCCCACTTTCCATAAGAAGAAAATAAATTTTCCATCCTATCCTGTGACCTCACTAAGTAAAATAAGCCGAGCGTCTGATTGAGACAAGGACAAATCAAAACCGGGTGGCCTCCAAGCAGTGTCCTCCTGGCTCACCTACCACTGAGCCACACAGGGCAGAAGCAAAGGATTCATTCATGATCAACAAGGGACTGCCGGTGCAAAAGGGGTAACTCGTACATCCAGTTTTCAAGATTTCAATTCCAAAACATGAACGTAAAATGAGAAGGCTCGAATGCCAGCTAAACAGCCCCCATTTTATAAAATATGTTTATGGTTATTTCCTGCTTTCTGTGGGGAACACGTTCCGAGATCACCCAGGGATGCTTAAAATCACAGATAGTACAGAAATCTATGTATACTAGGATTTTTTCCTATATACATGGACCTGTCATCAAGTTTAATTTAAAACTCCCAGCTAATACTAGATTTTTAGAAAAAGGTCAGTAAGGAACAATAGTAACTGGTATATAATGCTACAGTGGGCATTTTCCATGCTCCTTAACATTTGTGTTTGCTCTCTTTAAAAGTGAATGTGCTAAGGTACAAGATCCCAATAATGAATGTAACTGTATACCTAAAATGTACCAATAAACTCAATAAAAGAAAAAAAAACAGAAACTGGGGGGGCGGGAGTGAATGTGCTTGCTTGTGGTAGCACACTGGAGCCCACCTGGCAGAGATTGGCCACACTCAGAAGCTTCAATTTATCCCTGCTGCCTCTGACTCCTGGTATCCACCTAGGCCCAGCCCTTGCCTACATACACTGAGGCCTGACATGCTGCCCCAGAGCTGGCAATAACTACACTAGCAGCTCAGGCCTCACAGTCACAGAACTGCTATCTGAGCACAAGACATCCCACCCTTCATTGCCTGGTCCAGGAAGAAAGGGACACTCATTAGTCTCTGAATATGTATACCAAGTAGTCTTCTCATCTGAAGACACAATTTTCATCAAATTTCCCAGAAAGCCACTATATTTCATTACACCAGGAAAACACCTGCATTCCTTTGGCCTCTGAGAAGACAAGTCACATAAAACTTGAGCTGTTACTGAAGGTGTCTGCTTCTGATACTGTCCTGACATTCAGGAAACACACCTACAGGAGCACCCATGTGACCAGGATGCATTCCCAGGCAGATACTGAAGGGACCCCACCCATACATGCACACATGCACGTGCGCACATGCACACACACAAGGTCACATGTAACACACCAGAGATATGGGAAAACAGCTTTTGTGTTTTGTTTTGTTGGAGATGAGAGTAAAATCCAGGACCCTACTTACACTAAGAACATGATCTACCGCTGAACTACTCCCTTAGCCCTGAACGTGGTTTTGACAAAGCAGTAATGATCCACTTAGCTTTATAGAAAAGCTAATTGGCTCTCTAGATTATTTTGTCTAACTAGAAATTGAAAGCGTGAGAAAACAAAATTTTTGTTTCACAGTTGCTTTGTTAGAGATGTCTCTTGTAATAACAGTATTGACAGGAATCAGACTTGTAAATTACATAAATCAAAGAGAACCTGGAAATCAATAATTTATTTACTTTTGTTTTTGGAATCACAATACTCTCAACACTAACTCTGAGACCACCAACCTCTGACTCTTAAAGTTCCTTCATTCTGCATTTCATTTTGGTTTGGGTTTTTGGCAGTGCTGGACGTGAAACCCAAGTTGGGCACGTACTCCACCAGAGCACATCCCAGCCCTGTCCCCTGCTTTTACCTGGCCGTCCCCCAACTCAGGCACAGAGGCACCCAGAAATTCAGAATATACTATATCCCAGTTTAGTGTCTTATTCTAACATTAATTTAAAAACGGGATACTTCTGAATCATATGCATCTTGGGAGCAAAAGGCAGTTCCCTGAGGAAGAAAGCATAGACTCCCCTATTTCTTCCTCGGTCCTCCCACAAGAAGTACATCCCTAGAGTTACTTACCTTCTTTACTGCATGAAAACAGTCAAGAAGTGTAATGTAGAAGCTGCAACTTCCATAGGCAGCATCTCTGAAATTCCAAGAGTATTGAAACACAACTCAGTTCATTTTTCTGTAGGACATGTACGGAGAAAACAGCTGACTATATATAGTTTAAAACTACACATATGGCAGAGGTTAGCTCAGTGGTTCCGCCACCTCCCTCGCAAGTGCAAGGACCCAAATTCGATCCTCGGTACAGGAAAAAAAAAAAAAAAAGCATCTGATGTTCAGATGATCTCTCTGGATCACTTCTGGCTTTGAAAACTGAGCCTCCTCCTTCTATTCAACTAATCAATATTATCTACCCCTCTTCCCAAAGAGCAGGGCATTTGAATTTTTTCTTCAACTGGCAAGTATTGAATCACACTGCTACCAGCAAAGATTGCCTCTGATTGTCTGTGAGCAGGGCATTTGAATTTTTTTCTCTTTGGGAGTTTTTTTTTCCTCGGAATTTTTTTCTTTAAACTGGAAAATATTGAATCACGCTGCTACCAGGAAAGATTGCCTCTGATTGTGTATAAATGCATATGTGTGTCTAAATATGCAGGTGTTTGTATGTATCTCCATTCACCTAGGAAAAAAACTGAGAAATCAAGGTATATGTGAGATACCAGGTGCATGGTCACCAAATATTTTGATCCTATCACTATGCTAGAACTTTTAACAATTTAACTGGTTAACTTCTTTCTGCTTATTAAGGGACAATAAAGCCACAGGAATGAAGGCATCAACTACTTTTGGTAGAAGCACAGTGCTCTTGAGAAAGTTCTTTAACTGGCTGACAGAGAATTCCACCCAAACACTGTGCCAACACCCACATAATCCCACTGCAAATTTTTCTATCAGGGAAGATTTTACACAGAAAAAGAGATACCTGTCCCTGCTTGCTTCTTTTCTTCAGCTACCCTGAGCTATTCCAAGATGAAACATTTTGAAGTTAAACATAACAATGAATGTGATAATGATCACTCTAGGCACGCCAAACACTGTCCCACTGGAGCAGTGGGGCAGTTCTCTTTGGGGTGCCAGGTAGAACAAGGCAGAGAACAGGACAATCGTTAATTGCCCACTTTACTTGGGTTTTCACACTCAAACGTCTTACCTGAAAAACTAAACTGCATATTAACTTTTAATTCTTACAAAACTATAAGGGTTGAAACTACTGATTATAACAATGTTACAGAAAAAAAGGAGCTTTAGATATTATTCACAGAAGTGTTTAGAATTACTGACTCACATCAGCCTCAAGAGGGCTTTTTGACATCAGACAGATGGGAGTTGGACTCAAAACAGTTTTTGCTCTTTAAGGCTCTGAATTTAAGTGTCTCCTGTAAAAATCACAATACATCTCTTTATCCAATATAGAGGAAAAGAATTTTACCGGCAGCTAACTGGCAATATTCAGAAAGGAGAAAATCAGAATGGCCTGCAGAAGTGGTTCTTGTGTGTGGCTGACTCAGGCCAGCAGGATAAGGATCACACCAACTTGACAGAAACATGTTCCCAGGGGCCACTCCCTCCTTAGAAGTTTGAGGGGTAGGACCAGGTCATTTACGTTCTACAAGGTCCTCAAGTTTATAAACCATTGAATGACAGCATCAACAAATGCTCTGTTTTGTAGAAACAATTTTTTCATAGAGTAAAAAACTTTTTTAGACAGAGAAACTAAGACAAGAAAATAAAGTAATTTGAACCAAACTAAATCCAAATCGTCAATGGAAATGGTGAATTCTCAAACTGCAGCCCAGGGACTTGAGCGACGTCTTCTCAACTATCAGCTAGTATTGCCCTCTCCACCTACTGGCAGCTCCTCTCCTCGCCCATTAAAGATGTACTCTCAGTCCTGGTGACAATGTGGCCCACACGTTTGGGAGAACCTGCTTCATATATCAGATGACGAGCAACTTTCTTTATTCAATATGCTTATTCCCTGAACACCTCCAACTTTATGCACACCTACTACACCCTCCTCTCTCACGCAAACCATCAGCCTTCTTCAAATATACAGAAGAGCAGCTCTGAATCTGAATTTTAGCCTTTAAAACAGGTAAGACTCCATAAAGGGGTACTGCTTGGAAACTACAGAATCATGTCAAACACTAGTTTTAAAAATTGCAGCTTTCATAATACCTTATATTCACCGGAGCCCCAAATTGCAAATGACCTGAATAGTCACTGAAAGAAAAGACTAACCTGGTATATTCACAGAATGGTATGCTATATAACCAATAAAAAAGGATGAACTACTTTTGCCATGCATGGGTAAATCTCATATACATTAAGTCTTTGGTGGTGGTAGAAGTCACAACCAGGTTTACTGACTGCAAAGGGAAAGGAGGAGATCTTCTGGGGTGATGGGGGTGTTCTGCATCCTGGCATGTGGGAGCTGCAAATACACAGCAAAACCTGACTAATCTAAAAGGAACATATAAATACTCAATAAATGTGGGCTAGGGCTATAAACCACATCAAGTGTTTCAATATGGAGGATATAATTTACCTCTTTAGAGAGATGTTTTCATTCCCATTTATAGTTGAACACACCAAGGTTCAGATTTGTAAAGGACCACAGAGAAAGAATTAAAAGTCAAATCTCCATCTGTCTGATGTCAACAAGCTATTAGCAATCCTGCAAACTATCTCCCAAAAAAATATACAGCTGTCAAAAAAAAAAAAAAAAAAAAAAAAAA